CAATGATAAACCTACATAATCTGAAGTACTATTGACTAAGTTACACACATTATTCAACGATTTCTCTCGCGATTGATAATGAAAATTTAAACTTTTAAAATTATTCATCGGTATTTAAAGCAAATCTGTAATGGTATATATCTTTGATTTGTTAGTTGGTTTAATAATGAACATATGTGAAAATCGATATGATCGTTTCCATGTAACAAACCGTTTAATATGTCAACACAAATGAATAATAGCCCTTGTTTAAATGACAGTATGACCATGCTGATTAGCACTAATGGTTGAGATTTCTTTGTCATATTATGAATACAATATAATAAAAACGTTTATGCAGAGTAAGAAATATCGGTCACCATATGAACTATAAAACCAAAGTATAAAACATCGAGTCTGTTATCTGTTTATAAAGCCTTCATGTAGAAGTTGCTGAAAAACTCAAACGAATTCCTCCAGTTTAATAAAAAACAAAATTTTTGACGGTGTTAGGATTTTTGACATGAATCCTTTAGAGATTTTAGTTAGAAACTGTCTATAACTAATCTATTTCTGATAAGTGTTATTTCTAATGTGAAAGATGAAAAACTATTCTACTTGGTTAAAGAATTTTTTTGATTCGGTCCTACAGTTTCTTATTTTGAAAATTTACATCTGCTGAACATCAACCGCATTTTGGATGAAGCTTATTCAATAGTAATGAGAAGCTTTTATGCTTAACAAGTTCAAAGCAATTCATAGAGAGAACTGAAAAGTCATATTGATTCAAGTTTTAAGACCATTGAGTCTATCCACTGGTCTGTTTTTCAAATTAATCCAATTTGATGTTTCTCCAATTAATATTATACCTTATTTGGTTGCTTTCCAATTAGGTAAACCTGTTATGTGTATCCTTAAACTCATTATGAGGTCATCCATAATAAAATATTCATTTAACATACAAACCCTTGTCAATAATCATCACTTCCTTAAATATCAGTCTAGAACGTATGACCGCTATTTAAGTCGTTAAAATCTCTTACAAATCATCAAAGGGATCATAAGAATAAAGAATCATGACTACATTAATTTATAACACTACATTCAGGAAAGAAAATCAGTTTGAGGGATATAGTAAAACATTTAGCATTGTGATTCATTTATGTCCAATGTAAAATATCTTATTTTTAAACATTAGTAACTCAAACGAAATATCATCAGAATTAACTCATCATTTCAATGGACTTTCTAGATTTTACTGAATTAACCAAAGTGAAGGGAACTAACTGGTTGATGATAACTAAATAATTTCATTTATTAACGGTCAATCAATATTTAAATGAATAGATAATTGCTTTTTTTATAATTTAGTAGGACATTCAAGTTTATTTATTATGACTTAGTTCAGGTGATTGACGTGTTGGTTTGTTTGTATATAAGCAGTGAATGAATTAATGACCTTGTAGAATATCATTTATTGATCCAACTTGTAGCTAAAAATAAATATTCGTTGAAGAAATGGAACTTTGTTTTTCAACGTCAAACTGTTAACATGGTGCTAAACAATTACTGTAATTAATGCTAACATACTGACATAATGTAAGTGTAACCTAAAGAACAAGTACTTATCAATTTAAGTTGGAAATTTTACATTCAATCAAGAGTTTTAGGAGGGATGGATGCTAATGTCTAAATTCGATAGCTGATGATTCGTAATGGGAGACCATTTACAACTATTCACGAATTATGATTCATTTATTTGTGAATGTATTTATTGGAGAGTGAATTCAAAATGCGAAATAATAAAAACAATATTTCTACATGTTTCATAAATCTATAAAACTAATTCCATAAAAGTTTCATTTTTAATTGTCACTTAGGGATCGTGGATGCGCACTGCTGAGGAGTCCCATACTAGGACGAAACGGCCGTCCAGTGCTTCCAGGTTTTCCATGGTGGTTTAGCTTCAATTGATTCATGATTTCAACTTAGGAAACAGTCAATTAGAAAATCAAAAAAAAATTTATTAAATTTTAGACAAATAAAATATGTAAGATAAAGAAACTCAGCGCCTATGTTTGTATAGCTTAGATCGACTGATTTAAAATAGAGTGCGAAATGATTAATTCTGTCTCTGGTCAGTATGTAGTGAACGAGAACTCAGGTGGGGAAAATACATTTATTGTTTAATGCATAATAACGCAGTGATTTAGTAAAGTGTGAAAATCGTACATCAAATACATGATTTGCACATCTTCCTTCACTTGTCCTTCACATGATTCATGAGTCTTTCAATTATGTTTTTATTCCAATTCCTTTCTGTTCTCTTCAGTTCAATCTTCTTTTGACAAGAATCTCACTTCTGATTGGCGTTAAATACTACTTACATCTGTCAACATAAGTGCCATACACAACAAATGTATTCACTTTGACCACTTAAATATCTTGTCTCAGTGAGTGGTAGTCAACTGCATCTACTTAATGCGTTAATTGAAGATGTATTCAAGTAACAGAATGAGAAGTATCGATTTGTGTTTATTTCCGGTAAATGAATCAAACACAAATTAGAATAGTATTTTTTGAAAACTAGTTTCACTTACTTTCTTACGTTAGATTCACACTAGCTGTACACAATCTAAGTAGCCAATTTAAAAAAATGTAGGTATGGAATCACTGAATAAATATAGTTCACATATACTGCATTTACAATATCCAATTCACGCATAGAAAATATTAGAAATATTTTGTTCATGAATTCTGTTTCCTTATAAATTATTAGTAACTCCATTATTAAGAAATTTATGACAAGGATGATGATGATGTCTTTGATACAATCTTAATCTTCTGAAATTTACTTGTTTAAATTTTAGATTCTCGTGAAAGTAGAATATATATATGCTTTATTAATAGTTAAATTCAAAATATTTTGTTTGCACCATACTATTGCACCGTAAAACTAAATCTTTGTTGAATCAAAAATAGATTCCCAGATCATGAATGTTACCAAAACTGTTAGTTCATTTGTGTGATTCACAAAATCCCATTTCTCGCAGTTCTTTGTATTGAAGTGATCTTTAAGCATGGTTTAAATTTTGTAGTAAATAATTTTGCATATAGACCAGTTACTTTAAATAAATCAGTTTGGATAGTCTGTTATATAGTGTCGTGATATCTGTTCATTTAAAAAATGTATGTGATTGCTTTGGTTTTCTTATGAATGATTAATACAATAAATTAAAATAGCATCCCTTCGGATCTAAAGGAGGAAACTCACAATTGTCGAGCGTTTAGTGTTTAAAAAAAAGATGTAAAATATGGATCGTGGATCTGCACTGCTGAGGAGTCCCATACTGGGACGAAACAGCCGTTCAGTGCTTCCAGATTTTCCATGGTGGTTTAGCTTCAATTGACTCATGAATTCAACTATTAAATTAAAATAAAATAACCCGAAATTTCACTTGACAGTTTAGAACGATCCTCTTCAAGATAAAAAAACTTCTATAAAATATAAATAAAGTCGAAAAAATTAGCAAGTACTCAGAAGTTGTCTGATCATGTTAAGATATGGAGTACAGTTTAATCTATACATCGATGTTGACATTGCTCCATCATCAACAGAGTAGTGTCGATAAAAATCTCTGATATAAAATAAGACACTACAAACAATAGAATTCTACCAAGTACAGTGCAATAGTATGATCTTGTCCAAATGTTCATTTTACTTAGACGATTACGAACAAAATGCTTTCTGATTGACCAGTATCATTTCTTTTGTATACTAGTGATATTCATATTTATGTATTAAGCATTGGCCTTTAAAAGTGCTCTTAGTATATTGGTATAAAGTAGATAGATAACTTGTTTCGCGTAAATACTATATCGATTTTGTGTTTGAAAATCATTAACCAATTTTCTAGAGCCAAAACTTTATAAGCCACTTAATTCTATTCAAAGTTTACAATAAAATTTTAAAAAAAATAAACAATTCACTTGATACTGTTTTGCTTGCATCTTACCATTGAGGTTTAAGACTGCAATTGATCAGTCTCTCATATTGGCATATGTGCATATTGTGCGTATACCTCGATAGTGCCTTAATTCACAAGCTTTTATAAACAAACATGGATAGTGGCTAGCAGTGGAATCCAGGACGCACGTTTCGTCCTATTTGGGACTCGTCAGCTGGATGTTCACTCTGGGACTCGAACCCAGTACCATTCGCTTCAAACGCCATTACTATCAGAACTCAGTAGCTGAGTGGATAAAGCGATCCATCTTTGCTTAAAAACAAACAATACTTAAAACAAGTCGCATTCAAAATTACTGTTTTATCTGTTTTAACAAATCATCTGAAAAGTTACCAGTACTATTAATCGAATAACATTACTGATAGGAAACATGGGATTTATCATAATTTATTATTTAATGCCATTATTGATTAATTATCAAGAATGCTATTTATTAACTCAAGTAGGGTAAAGAAGCTTATTTTTTTGTTTAAGGACAATTCCCCTTCTTTCACTTTAAAGTTCAAGGATTAAATTCTGACTAAAATAAGATCAAAGAATAGATGTTTAAATGTGACATTAATTTAGTTACTACCGTTTTTTATCAATATAAGTACAAATCACTAAGCCATAATAAAAGAGCACATATGTACACTTTATTGTATTGTCACAAGAATAAACCAATAGGCTGATAAGTAGGATATCCAATTATCTCTATTACCTGTCTATTTATCGCCCATTAAATTTTATAATAAAAATGAATTGTTTATGAGTCAATAAGTAGATTTTTTCTGATAGTAGTTTACATTTAAACAACATAGTGAAGTATTACTTGGAGACTATTTTCATAGACATTTATTATGTCACATTACATAATAACAATTGAATATATTCAACTTAATTTATATTAATTATGTTGATAAATATCTATACTGTAAAAACATAATCTCAATTTGATTTCTGTTGGAATATTATATAAATATAGTGTATTTGATTTTAACTTGTATTTTATCAATGACTACACAACGGTCAGTATTTCGACGAAGACGTTCATCATCTTTATCAACAATAAATACTAGTTATTCAGATGATGAAGATTTTTGGTCTGCATCTTCTTCAAGAAAAACATCAAAGGATTCAGAATATAAGAAAAAAATGAGTTTGTCAGCTGTTCAATCAGCCAATGAATTATATATTACTAATCCTAATGATACATCAAATGAAATTGAGGTTAGTTAAACTTCGTCTTCATGAATATTAAAAAAAAATAATAATCGATCTAGTATACTGATACGAATATTTACTTTGCGTTAGTGATATCTCTGGGATATCCTTCAACAGGGCATATACTAAAGGACACGTATCAATAAAAGTGGGTATGAAAGATGACCAGTACAAGAGTGACTATTACAAAGGCGACTTAATAATCCAGATGTAAATCTTATTTACATTTCTTAACTTTGTAGCACACCTTAATGTCTAAATGTACAAACTTAAACTGAGTGTTATTTCACGTAAATATTCTGGCAATGATCCGTTCCTATAGTCTTCTAAAACCAGTATAATGTAGTTTGCTAAGTCATTGTGCTTCTTGTTTTCGCACAGTAGCTGGATTCATGGGACGACATACTCAAATTTCAACTCATTCAGCATTATTCCTTCTTTCTAAATCTTAGGATGAAGGTCTTCAATTAGTTGACTATACCCAAAACTGTTGGCGTTGCACAATACAATTCAAATAGTAAATCGGTTGGGGCCTCCCGATGCTGTAGGTTTCCTAAACCGATTGTCTTTGGAGTAGTTTGTTATCACAAGAATAGTGACCATATTTAACTGTCAAATGTAATTTTAACATCTGAAAACAGAACAAAAACAAACGTTTTTAACTGATGAATCTGTGAAGCATACTATTGGTCTGTAGTATAACGTTGTTGATGGTTTAGTGGTTGCTGTAGCTTCAGCTATATACATTGGCTTAAATTAAATGAGTGACCTTGTTGTACTGTATTCGAATAGACTTTTCGATTTAGCTGAATGCTTGCAATGAGTTATAATAATAAGTGGATTTAGAGTTGATTTTAGTTTATTTAATTCCTTAAAGATGTGCATGTACGAATTTTTACTCCCGTTGCTTGTTATATTGACAAACAATAAGTTGACGGTATAAAACGTCATAGTGTAAACAGTGTAAATCTGCATAAACAAGGACGGAGATATTTTGCATATTTCAAAAAGATACCAATGACAAAATCACCCTAACAATTCCATATTTTTAGCTGTAGAAACATAAGAATTAGTTTTTCATCTGATTCCCTATCATGCAAGAGAAAACACCCACCTCTCACAGTCGGCTCATATTCTGACAGGATTGTTGATGTATCATCTGAATTTAGATTTTGTAAGGTTGAGTGATGGTCATGACAAATTATATGCTCCATCCGCACCACAGGCAGTAGTTGAATTAACACTCATCCAAAGAACCGGTAGGTGCCGCAGGTACAATCAGATGCGTTACTTCCGTTCAAGAAGTTCGATCTTTTATTATTCTGACTGTGTATTTTGTGTCTACCATAGCATTTTCAGAAACGTGGTTACATTCTGTTAGTTTCGCTTAATTACATTCACAGTTCGTCTAACAGTGCAACCTACACTTTGTTACATGGTATTTCATAAATCATGAATTCTCGTCATTAAGTACTTTCTATTTTCGGAAACAGTAAAATATTAAAACAAACCTTCTTTGTTACTTTCTACGTACTCTAACTCCATTTCAGAAAAGCATAGACAGTAAAAAGAATCCATTTAAAAATAATAATTACTAGTTCATTCATCTGATTACACTTTCACTATAACTAATTAATTGTAACTTCATTAAACATCTGTATATCTTCGGTGGCTCGTAATCAAATCATTTCAAAAATAAATGCTACTTGCTTTTCATGTGCCTCCTTTTGATTCTCGTTCTCATGAGGTTCACCTTATTTGATATGCACTTTATTGAATCACATCTTTATGATTCACGTCCTTTCAACTCGTGTTTATCGAAGTAAAGTTACTCTAAAACAAGACAAAAAAAAACAATAAATGTGATATTTAATATAATATTTGATGATAAAATTAATCATACGCTATATGATTTCAAAGAAGCCCTTATTTAGAGAGTTTTGATACACAGTTCCTCTCACTGAAAATAAAAGGCAAATCATATTATTAACAAACAGCATTTATGCATTTAGTGAACTGTCATCTATAAGATAGCAAGTAACATTTAAAATAACTGAATATATATGAGATCATACGGCTATAATATGCATATTTAGTAAGAAGTTCAGTCAATCAATACCTTACCATAATAAAATCGGTGTTAAACACTTAAAGGTAATTAGCATCCAAAGATATTTTAACAAGGCGAAAGTGAAATGAGAAGAAATAAGCATTTCATTCTTAGTCAAAATTTTTTCAACATAGTAGTTCTTGATTAAATTACCCTATTATCTATGTTGACCCACCTAAAACATCTTATACAGCACCATGGAAATATATAACATTGAAAAATTTAACAAAATCCTTTGATCGTGAACGAATAAGCCACTAGTTTGAAAATTAACGGAGAATAAAACAAATTAATCAAATAATAAATTAGTGTATAACTATGCAATTATTAGCTGGCAATATATATGTGATAAAATAACAGCCCATTTATTTGGATTAAATGACTATATATTTGAAATAACACATGGCAAATCCGTCGTTATTCGCTTATGATAGGAAAATTATTTTCAAGTCTCGAATCAATCCACAGCTCAAAACTTCCATGTTTATGAGTATCGCCACTTATTGTTCATCATAATTTTTTTTAAAAAAGCAGTTAAATGTGTCTTTCGATCCCCTAACTTCATTTTAATGTAAGATTAATAAAATAAAAAAGCTTGAGTTTACCAAAGAGTTTCTACAGGTAACTTTTGGATAACTATCAATCTATTCAACTGAATTTGTGACCAGATTAGAATAACAATTATATGCTTGACTGCTGTATCCGGACATTCTTTAAACAACAAAAATAATCAGACAGTTGATTTAATTAAATCCCGCCAGTTGTATTTCCAATATTTATCTGTCAATAGCACGAATTTCAAATACACGTTCTGAAAAGATAGAATTAAATGCTCCATAAATTTGGGCAAAAATTCAAATTGAACTACATATTTCTAAGATATAAGTTAGAAAGTTCAGTTACATTTCCAAAGCCTTGAAAAGCTATTGCTTAAACATATAATCCAACGAATGTCTAGCGTTTTTATTCATTTATTTATGTTTTTGAACACATAAATATTGGTACAAAGGTACACGGAATACATATGCGCCACATAGGTCACTTAATTTGTGTGTGAACTGTGACAATGATCGGGTGTCCAAACCGAAGTAGGTGGTCCTCTTACAATCCACACCTGGAGCCTTCGACTCAAAGGCCTGATCCACAAGGCAGTGGAGTAACGTTAGAAGATGCAGTCCCATGGTAGCGCATATGCAACACTGGTTTGGAATTAGGGTTTTCCAAGTCCCCTGTGTGGACTCTCCGTGTCCACCAACACAAATAAAGCGCCAGACATTTGCTTTTCGTCCTCTCAATTTTGTAAACAACACTCACGTCACGAGAATTCAGTGAGTAGGAGTTCCGTGGGTGTGGCTGTATACATGTGGCCATGTGAGAGCATTTTGCGAGGGAGAGCTCACACTCCCCACCCCCAACCATACCAGGGCGTTTTTAAGAAAAGATTTGAATAAGTTATATAACTTGTTCGAACACAGTTCTAGTACACACTATGTGAAAAATTAAGAATAAGTCAAAACAATATAGTTCAGATTAAATGTTTATAAAACCCACTGACTTATAAATAAACTTTACTCGTCAAATAATTTATTGTATTTAATTCACTAAGCTTTCTAAGGTAATACACAAGAAACCAGTAAATGATTTCCAGAAATTTTATACAAAAACTGCAGACTTCGGAAATATTTTTTGTCATGGTCTCAAGTCATTTGGCAAACCACTAAATGCCAAGAAGTACTGTACAACTGCCTTGGTTTATTGTTTACTCACGAACCCACCATATGGGATCAAATTAGTTATCTTAAGTCTCTCACTGAGTAGATTACATTCAAACCTCTGAGTTGAATTCTAGTGATTCACATTTTCAGCTCTCTTTGATTCAAGGTATAGCGAGATCGCCACACGATGACATCAGGCGTAACTGTCCTATTTACGATCCGTTTAAATTTCACTCCTCACCAGAAAATTATAAATTTACCTCGAAACTAGTCACCATAAAATTTGTGATTATTTTGTATTTGGATGTTTTACAGATATCCCTCCTCAAACTTGTTCAGATACATTTATCAATGATTCTTCCATGACATAAACTAACTTCTAGTTAAATTACTAGCTACATATCACCCTACTAAAATACAAAGTTGTTAGCATATATACACTTTCTAGTCAGTAACTTAGAAAAGTATTCACCTATATTATAGTTTATCTCTTTTATTTCAGTATTCACATGAAACTTTATACAACTATAATGAATCACACACACTTAGAGAGTCTCGAACAAACTCTTTTCAATTCGATAATATTATGTGTCGACGACAATCAGTTAGTTTGCCTGGATTTCATGAAGGACTAAATTCTGGTAAATTAGTATCAAGATTAAGCTTAGTTGGTGATGAACTTGAAGAGAGCTTAAAGGTAAATAAAGCATTTTATTATGTATTTTTTGAAGAATTATTTTAATAAACATTATGTTATCAAAACAGATACAGTTATAAGGTATTGAGTGCTTGAAATGAGTTATATTCCACACTACCTTGTATTTTATTAATAGAAAATTTGATTTTTATTTAAATCATCAACCGCTTTGTGAAAGTTTCATACTAGGACAAAACGGCCGTTCAGCGCTTTCAGGTTTCCGGTTGTGGTCTAACTTAAATTAATTCATGATTCCAATAAAATCCAACAACTTCCACAACCTTATACTGAGAAACTTTGGAAATTTCCTATTGTTGATCTTCAAAACATTATCATATAGGCTATCGAACTTGGTCTAGAACTTATTATTATTATTACAATGACAAATTATTTCATTCAACAAATTTTTAACAACATTCTTTGTGTCATAGAGAATGTCAAATTAACTGCTATTTAAAAGAATGAATATTATAGAATAGTTGTGAAACCGTGTGAAATGATAAAATTTAGATCATTTAAATAAAATTCTTATGTTTGTATATGTACAAAGTCATATTTTAAAAAAACATTACGTTATGGATGCTAATTCTAGTTTCGCTTACGAAACTAACCGTCTTATATAATTTAAACATTGATTTCTATTAATAACGACTTGAAACTCTACCAACAGAATGGTTTTATTCTCTTTTCTTTCCCATCGAAAACAATAATAGGTAAATCAATAGTATTTATTTGGTAGTAAGACTTGAGGTACGTTTACAGGAACAGTAGATAATATATGAAATGAGTATCGGTAGGCTGAATCATAAATCATTTGGGAATTTTATTTGGTAATAATCAATGTTAAAACAAGTATTAAATCTATATATTATGTTTTGTTGGTGATTGAATTCAGGACACATGGTTCAACTTTTATCGAATTAATCTTAACGGATGTACCTGCATCATTGTTGTTCACAGAGACCTAACTTAAGTATCTATTGCTTAAAAAGCATAAGCCACTAGACTGATAAGTTGTGTTGATCACTAACTTCTTCTATGGAATGAAGTGATCAACAACTATCGAAAATATAACCAATAAGTAAATCTAAGTAGTATTGAATCACCCGTTCAAGGAATTTATGTACTAATGAGGTTAGTCAGTTCAGTACTAAATTCATAATATTAAACAGTTTGAAATCATTTAAAGACGAATAAAAATCTATTGTTTACTTTATGGACATGAATTTAAGAAATGACATGAACTTCTCCCTCATCCGTTACTAAAATGAAACTGTATAATATTCTAAGAACAACTTAATGTTATGAAGTTACAACAAAATTTAAACACCCACGAAGAGATCATTGTAAACAACGTAACTAAGCAACAAAATTGTCGTTATCTTTTAAACCCAATAATTTGTATAGTTATAAGTGTATCATATTAGCTGTATAACAATCAACTAAAAAACAACACCATTTCCACTCAGTGTTTTCATTACAGTTAATTTGTTATCGTAAAACCAACAGTAATGACCAAGTTATACAGTGACAGTCTAGTGGTTGTGAGTTAATTAAAGGTATTTACGAATTTTAAGTTGTATGTGTAGGTAATGATAAAAAAATTAACAGATCAAATTATGAGTAAAGAAATTCTAGAGGGTTTGCAAAAATGCCTAAAATATGGATTATTTGATTGATGATTTAATCCCTATTATTCTTGGTAAACTGTTTAAGTGTTAACAAATAAGTGAGAATAAGGAAATTTAACCTTGGCAACGATGAGTGCCATTTATGGACAGATTCACTATGTCGATGAAATTGGCCGGCAATCTGATCACCATCGCGACGATCGTAAATAAAAACGGTAAAAGCTGGAAAACATTTATCCAAGTACCTGGATCGTTTCACATCAGGTAGACGTTAATGTCTTTAACTATGTTTGGCAAAAGAACAAATTAAATCACAGAACAAATTAAGTTGACTATAATAAGTAGATAGAAAGTTGATGATCATATCAAGTGGATATTCTCTGTCTATTTTATGTTAATTTCAAATTCCTCATTGATATCTCTAAACAGTAAACCATGAATATCAAGTATTGCTTTTGTCACTAATCAATATGAGGTTGGTTATTTGATCAAAACCATAGAGTGTAAATAAAATTGGGAATTCTTAATGATGAACTTAAACTGAACTACGTTTAATAATCTTTCCAATTGTTTAAATGAATATTACTTTGCAATCCGGTCAATTAAATGCTAATTTAAACTCAATTAGAAGTTTATTTGTAATTTTTAATAATTATGTTAGTTGAAAATATAAAATAATGGAAGTCAAATTCCCCATGAAAATGCAAATTTAACTAAACTTACAAATGTATTAATTAAAAGTAATAAACACTAAATATTCAATGACAAACCATGAATTCGAAATTCTACAATTATTTGTTTATTTGAACACATAAATATTGGTACAAAGGTACACGGAATACATATGCGCCACACAAGTCACTTAATTTGTGTGTGAACTGTGATAATGATCGGGTGCCCAAACCGAAGTAGGTGGTGGCCATGTGAGAGCGTTTCGCGAGTGTGGGCAGACTCTCCCCACCTTCTGTCGTTACTCACATACCAAATTATCATTGTTAAGAGAGAAAAGAGGTTTGGTCTGCATGAACAACTATGTTTGTGAAAAAAAAGAAGCTGACGGAAAAGATATTATTAGGTGTTTAGTAAAACGTTAAGTATTGTGAATGTATAACATTATGTCATCAGGTTCACGTAAATCGACAAAGACAATAAATATTTGACAATGTCAGGATTAATTGGTGTCAATTTTGGAAATGTATTTATCACTACACCTTACTTCCCCTTAATAGATTTATGGGTACCATCAGACATTACCAGACAAAAGTTTAAACTAAATGAACTTGTCATGTGGTTATACTTGTACTGAGGTTACAAATAGAAAATTGTACTGTGTTCTCGTTTGCTGTCGTTTCCTGTATTCAACTGAAAATTTATAGGAAAATAAGATGTGTTTCATTGTAAACACATACTGGAAAATGTATTCACTAAACATAAAAAATTTTTAAAAAATATGCTGACAGTACATATTCTATAAATTAGCAACAATTAAATTTACGCTATTGAGCTATCCTCATCTATAGCCCACATTAGATATGGTTGGACTCCAATTATCACGGCTTCTTGTATATTTGAATTCCGGATTAGGGGTACTGGATGTGCACTCCTGAAGTGTCCCATACTCAGACGAAACGGCTCTCCAATCTCTTCAAATTTTCAATAGTGGTCTAGAAAAAATTAATTCATGTTTTGAACTAAGAATTTTCTATAATCTCCACAAATTTTCTTATTCTAAAAGTTAAATTGCTCGTTTTGAGTACTTGAAAACTAAGAACGGCAAATAAATTCATTCAATGTCATCTTTTAATACATTTTTCTCTATTTATCTTTATACTCTATTGAATTTTGTAGAAATTTAAAAACTCACATGAAATGAACAGTAAAAGAAGATGGACTATATTTGATTGTTCAACGTCGAAACCAGAATAATACTAATGATAATAATCTGTTTTATAAACAATGAAGATTTGATTACAATGTCAGTAACTGGATCACATTGTTGAAGCATAACTTTATTGAAATGTCTTTCAAATAAACTGTATACTAAAATAACTTTATTTGTGCACAATAATGTAAAAAATAAACTAATGAGTTATTTGAATGGTTTGACAGAAATTGGCCGCCGAGTATTGAGAAGTCATTATATATGAAAATTATATTTGAAATAATCTCAGCGATTGAAGTCCAAACAAGTTAGCTGGACGAAACGTTAAAATTATTTAAATTTCAATCGCTGAGATTATTTCAAATATAATTTTCATATATAATGAGTTATTTATTTTACCCATATTTACAAAAATACACTCCATTCCTCTAATAACAAATCTAATATACTTTTCTTTTAAAAAATGTCAGTCTTTAATCATAACAGTATGAATAAACTTATCAATTGTATCCTGTATAAAAAAAACGTGGTAACTATTGAATAATCAATATTGTACTTTCCTGGAAAAATAAATTGTTTTAAAGATGACGAAAATTTTACAAACAAAACTTTTTTTATAAAAAGGATTTATTTATTTATCACCATTAAGATAATTCTAACGATTTACCATTGAAATCAATAAGGAGTCAAATTAATTTTCTTAAAATATTACTAATAAACTTATGTTTAGTTGAAAGTGGTATTGTTGGGGTGATCCAGAAAAGTCCTCTCAAAAGACAAACAAGGGTCAGGAAACACTAAGAAGCATTTCATTCACTCAGCGTTGACTTGAAGTTTTAACCGGAAACATCAAGGAAGTGAAAGGTCACATGTAGAGTTTCTGATTGGCTAATTGCTATATTGCTACTATGTTTAGTAGTATTCCAGAATCTTCGAGCAACCCAAGGGTATTTGAAATATTATAAAAACCCTATATTTTCTGTATTAAAAAGAACCTTTGGAGTAAAGTATTTCTCGTATAGTTTGCGCATTTTCTCTCGTGTTCAGGTTGCTGTATAGTTCTAGCTTGGGGGTTACAAGAATAGCTTAGGAATCGAATATAGCGTTTAATTTGCAAGACTTATCAGGTATGAGATAACACTGAGATGATGTATCGACTTAATGAGTATGTATTCTAATTATCATTACTAATAATGTGATAAAGTGACAAGTTAACAATGATGATCATATTAGATCTAAAGAAAGCAATCTATTTTGCTTTTACATTTCGATTTATTTATTTCATTTGAACACATAAATATTGGTACAAAGGTACACTGAATACATATGCGCCACACAAGTCACTTAATTTGTGTGTGGACTGTGATAATGATCGAGTGTCCAAACCGAAGTAGGTGGTCCTCTTACAATCCACACCTGAAGTCTCCGACCTAAAGATTTGGTCCACAAGGCAATCGAGCAACGTCAGGAGATGCGATTCCATGGTAGCCGGTGACCAATAATAGGTTAATACGCCTTTTGTTCCCTCAGGATACTGGAGCCCATGTACACTATTGGTTTGGAATTAGGGTTTTCCAACTCCTCTAGATTGACCCTCCGTATTCACCAACCCGGTTGAAGCGCCAGACATTCGCTTTTCGTCCTCTCAATATCGTAAAAAACACTCACGTCAAGAGAAATCAGTGAGTAGGAGTTTTTTGTGAGTGGCTGTATACATGTGGCCATGTGAGAGCATTTCGCAAGGGTGGGCGGACTCTCCACATCCTTGACTGTACCAGGGCATTTTACTGAATTAAAATAGTAGAATCTATTTACGTTTTAACTAAAAATTGTTTACGTACTAAATCTTACTGAGTGTATTTCACGTTTAATTTTTTAGTTTACTAGTATTGAACTGTTATTGTGGATTACTTATAAAAAAAGAAATCTTCATAAATAAACATTCTTATATTTACTGTATATTATGATAAGTCTTGCGATTTTGAACGCTATACTCGATTTCTAAGCTATTCTGAAAATCCCCAAGCTAGAACTACACAGCAACTTGAACACGAGAGAGAGGGCACAATTTATGCAAAAAGTACTTTACTCCAAGGTTCATTTTTGTACAGAAAAACATGGGTATTTTAATGATGTTAACATTTGTTAAATCAACATCATATTTTGGCCAATCCTATAAAAGATATATTATGCTACTTACCAATAGTAACACGCCACGTTAGCATTCTAGCTCTGATTGACTAAGACTCTTTGGCTCCTTCAGGGCCTCCGGAGGCTCTGTTGCAGTTCTCGGAAAGCCGACTTAACATATTACTGTATACACAAGTGTATAATCGTCTATAATCGTTGTAAATTAATTAATATTCTAGATGTTTAGGAAACTCGCTTTCTTAAATTACAATATTTGACAATTATTAAGCTGAGCAACTTTATGAAGATTAGTTTAATTTCAGTGTACTTTCTATCTTCTTGTACTTTTTAGAATTCCTCAACTATTCTGTTGATGCTAGTTTATGAGTAAGGGAAATTGAGCCGGTCTCCACAAATCCGCTTACACGTAGTCACCAGTAATTAACTGCAAGATTAGTTACCGAAGTTGAAGTAAGAAGGCATGACTAAAGGGGTGTGATCACATCAAGTGTAAGATAACTACTTACTGACGACATAAAATATTTTTCACACTTAATCAAAAAATAACTGGAATTAAAAATATAAACTTTCGAATTTTATTGCCAACACACTTGTTGTTATACCTGAAATTGTTGAATTCGATCCCTAACCTGTTTATATGTGTGCATGGCTAGGTAGTTTAAAACTATAGCAAAAATATCCACTCAGTATTCTCAAGTATCCAACGATTTTTCAACTAATGTAAGCTATCTCTATATTTCATTAGTACTGGTCTACTTATTGTAAAATATGGTTTAATAAGATATCTTATAAGGCTTTCCATGTTCAACATACTAACTTTTTAAATTATCATTAAATACTAAAATTATTTATTAGTTTTGTATTTCAACTCGGTAAAACCTTTTTCAGTTTAACAATTCAAAAAGTGTTCAGAAGTAAAAACATCCTAATAAACCTTATTTATTTGTCAAAATCATTTTACTGACAGAAAACCCTTAAAACATTTGAAAAATATTATGGTTACTGTAACCATCAGTAATATAACGGCTATAGCAACTGTCAGATGAATACTAAAAAAAAGAACAAGTTACACAGTATGTCAACAATTCTTTGATATAAACGTTTTTAACAATACAACCCTTGCATTTTACAATCCTTTAAAATTTCCCAAAACTAAAATAAATAAAAATTGATTAAAACTATAATGTTCTATTACGAAAATAAGGTCAACATATTATGTCTTCCTTATGACCTTAAAATTAATCGATATATTTTGAGGGAAATCACAAGAATGAATTACATTTGTTTAAGTGAGAATCAACTAAAATCGATCTGATTCAAATGATTTTAGGCATGAAAACTTTTGTGTACAAGTAAGTATATTGAATAAAACTAGTAATGTGTTTTAAGATTTCCTTCCAGAAATATAAAGGTGATTTAGAACTACAATGTGTATGTATAAAATTAAGGATTCTTTAATGAAGAATACCATTATTTTTATAATAATAAAAACTATCTGAACATTTCGCTTACACCATGCTTTTTCATAATGATTCATTTGAATTACAATGTCACATCTATAATTAATTACATATAGAGGGAAAACAGGTGTATGAACATGTTAAATGTTATTTACATTGACGATATCATAAGTAAATCACTGGGCTTGACACTAAATTCGGAGTGAATATTGCATTTTAAACATCTGACTTATCCATTTGGTTATAATTTGAGAGCTTGAAACCATTTTGAATTTTTGAAAAGAAAGATAAGTTTATTTGTTGGAGTCAGATGAGATATTCTCGTTAAGATCCTCAGAAACCAAGAAAAGGCTGAGAGCACTTCGTCCGATTGGCACAAGTCATGAAAACCTTTAAAAAAGTTAATAGATTGTGCCAAACTATGATTAGATGATTACTAAGTCTGTTACCTAACTTTCTATGTTTCCAGAAGTTTTCACTCTGATAGTTAGCAATAAGCCTACAAATAAGCTTGTAACCTGTACATAAATGAACCTTAGAGTAAAGTTTCTATTCATGTTTTGTGTCTTTTCCATATCGTTCAAGTTCAAGTGTAGAGGTAGTATATAGAATGTGGTAATAGGTAGCAATAATGTAGCAACACTTATTAGAGTAGAAATTTATCAGTATTCGAACATATAATGAAACAATTTTTCCAGATTGTAAACAACACTTTTGTTACTAGTTCTTATCGGTTAGAATTAAAGTTAACGCTTTCCAACAACACCGATTTCACCATATTCAGTATCATCAGAAGACAGATTATGGAGGAAAACCATAAGATCGACAGTCAGAAAAATGTAAATTATGGAAAAACATTTTGTTTAATTATAATTCCAAATGGTTATAGACTTTATGCTCTAGCATTATATTTATCTAAGCGCAAAATTTTCTATTGATAAGCAAAGATGTTTAATGGCTAACAGTGCGGTCCAAGAAGCATGTTTCGTCCTATTTGGGACTCATCGGTTGGATGCATCTGCATCTCAGAGTTGGTGTTCACCCTGGGACTCGAACTCAATACCGCTCACTTCAAACGCCACTGCTAGTTACTATTCATCTTTGCTTATAATGCTTGCGAATTAAGGCGATACCGAGGAAATACGCACAGTATGTACATATGCCAATAAGAGACTGATCAATTGTAGTCCTAAAAATCAATGGGAAGATTCAAGTAAAAAATTCCAAGTGAATTTTCTATTGACAGTTTAAAGCGTTTGTATTTCCTCGGTGTTGAAATTAAACCATCCTTTCTTTCGCATGTGGCTTTCGAGACAATAATGTCGATAAAGAAATATGATGAATAGTTGAATTATAACTGTCAATGAGATTTAGGACTAGTTTTCGTCGAATTCGGGGATCGTTAGCTGGATGTGTCTGCTGTGTTGTGATAT